CAGGATGCTGTGCCAGGGGGTGGTGGGCAGGAGCTGGGCCTGGCAGGGGGAGCACAGGACTCCCGGGCTCCTCTCCCGAGCCAGCTGCTGCCTCGCTGTAGGTACTTTGCCTTGCCAAGCAGGTCAGTTAGGGCCAAACTCTTTTTTTTCTTTTTCGGGGGGTTGCACGGGTGCTGGTGCCAAGCATGACATGTTGGGGCTGAACTTCAGGAAAGCCTCGGAGCACCTCTCTGCAGCTCAGGTTGCAGCACGGTGCCAGCCAGGCTCTCGGGAAGGGTCTCAAGCCATGGCCACATGCTTCTCAGCCAGAGGAAGCATGGAGGCCAGTTGCCCAGACCAAGGCAAGGAAGGGTCTGCCCTCTGCTCCCCTTGGACCAGCAGATGCAATGAGGCTTTGCTCTCTGCTGACTTCCAGTAGCCCAGGTGCATCTGGCTGCTTTTGTGGGTCAGCAGCCCACCAGGCTCCGCCAGCAAGCACTGCCAGCCCTGCCCATGGCCATGCTCATGCCACCCCAGCAGGTGGGATGGGACGGAGGGTACCAGGGAACCCTCCCCTCATGGCTCTGCTTCACATCGGCCCTGCTGGGAGCAGGTTCCCCCAGGCAGGATCTGGCTCTGATGACTGTTCTGCGCGGGGAAGAAATACCAGAGGAGTTACTCACGGCTCATCAGGGGCATGATGTAGCAACTCCTCACCGGTTCCCCCCTCCCTCCAGCCAAAGTTCCTCCTGTGATCTCCTGGGGAAAGAGCCAGCCCCCCCACTCCCCCCCTGCCACCCCCAGACACCTTCCCCACCCTTGCTGGAGCTTTCCAGAAGCAGGAGATGAGCTGAGGCTTTGGGTGAGAGGAGAAAGGACCAGAGCGACCTGCTGTGCTGGAGGGAATCTGCTGTCGCCTTGGCTCTTCCACGCTATGTCTGGTGATGGGCACAAGGCCAGGGTCTGAGAGAGCACCAGCCTGGGGTATCCACATCTGGACAGCCACACATTTGGCTTCAGACCTGGCAGAAGTGCAAACCGATTGGGCCAGCTCAGGTCTCTCTATTGCCTTTTCAGCGGTCACACTCAGGTCAGGTTTTCCCATTGCTCTCCACAACCGCAGGGGCAAGAAGTGAGATTTAATTTTGGTTTGCTGGAAGGAGCTGAGAAACTATCCTGCTGCTGGGACTGGGAAGTTCAAACTTTGAGAAAACCACTGGGCTTCGCATGGCTCTAGCAGAGCCACCAGGCTGGTGGTCCCCTCTGCAGCAGGGACCCTCAGGGACAGAGGATTCTCTAGAGCTTAGACCCAAATACTTGATGAAACTGGAGTAAGCTACACCTGGTTTTGCCAGCATGGACTTGCTGCCGTCTTTAGAGAACTTCACTGGCCTTTTCATGACACGCAGGTGAAAGAAATGGCCATTTCTTTTTTAGTTTTGGAACTTCCTTAGCAATTTGCCTCCGTGAGGAGATAATGGGAGAGCATTGGGAAAATCTGGTCCCCTCTGCTGGAATCCACCTCCATCATCTGCCTGGGCTCTTCTACCCTGATGGTCATTCCTCCCTCTTGGGCGAAGCACCTTGAACATTCCCGTTTCAGCCCAACCCTGTGTGCGGTGCCCTGCAGGGTGGAGGTGTCCCTCACAGGGCAGGGGGGCCATCCACCAGAAGGTGCAAGGTTGGAGCAGCTCAGCAGGATCAGATAGTCCCTCCACGTGACTCTTTGGTGGGACTCAGACAGTTCCCACCTGTGGATCAGGAATTAAGTGAGGCAGACAAACAGAGGGACATGGAAGGAGACAAGCCAGTCACACGGAGTGCCCAAAGCCAAAGGAGTGTGAATCCAAGCCCCAGAAATCCTTCATGGCTCCAACCACACAAAGCCAGACATCACCCCTCTTCCCAGGCCCTAGCAAGGTATATGGGGCATTTCTTTCTTGGGGAAGGAGGGAGGCTGCACTCAGGCTCCATGGAATAAGAGATGTTTGGGATGCCCAGACCCCAGCGAGCCAAGTCCTTGCTGGTGACTAGCTCTGGAGGCTCGGCAGTGGCTGTGAGGAGAGGAGGTGTCCTGCAAGCTTTCTGTGCCCAGCGGTGCAGCTGTTAGGATGGCTGCCTGGCAGCTGGTTCCCACTGTCTTTGTAACCACAGGCATGCTGGCGTCTTGCCTGGGGCTCTCAGACACTTGGCGAGGGAAGCCGCAGAGCAGACCTTGAAGGTTGGTATTGCGTAGGGAGCCAGTAGGCCCCAGGAGTGAATGAGCTCCTGTGACCAGGGAGCTTGTGCCCTGGAGCTGCCTGCACCCAGACCACGCTGCCTGCACCCAGACCACGCTGCCTGCAGCCCAAAGCACCTTGCCACTCCGCACCCCGACAGCACAGCGCTTCCACCCCTGACCATGCCACCTGCAGACACACCAAGATCAAGGGATCTTGTTATGTTTTCCCCTGAATGTCCCCGGGTCCCAAGCTCTGACAGGGTCTCTGCAGAACCAGACAGCACTGGGCACTGTGGTTTACCAGGCTCAGTGGCCAGGCTGTGCTGGGAGTCTCCCCCCGGCTGTGCTAGCATTACCGGTGTGCCGTTTCACAATGCTGGTCCCAAAATGGGGGCCAAGGGGAGAGCAAGCTGCAGTTTTGTAGCCCCATGATGCTCAGAGATTGGTCCCTCACTGGGGGATGTGAGATGTGCTTGGGGGGAGCAGCCCTGCCCTGCATCCCCTCTCTGCATCATCAAACACACCTTGTTCCCACCCCGGTCCCCTCCCCAGCTCAGCCCAGGCAGGGAAGCCGTGTGCTGGGATGCAGCTGCTGCAGCGCAGGTGGCCTGGGATTAGCAAGCAGGGGAGCGAAGGGGCCGGTGTGGTGCGGGGAGAGCTCGGTGGTGAGTCAGTCATCACCCCAGGCAGCCCTGAGATCACAGGCACCTGCAAAGGAGCCCCTGGGAGGTGGGAAGCCAATGCCACCTACAAAGTGCCGAAGCATGATGGATGTGCAGAGCCCCACCGCTCTGGGAAGCACAGCCCTGGGGACAAGGGGGTTTGGGCAGCTTGGGAGGGAGGGGGGAGATGGGGTGGGTGGGAGACATCAGTGGGTCCAACTAGCGCTTGGGGCAAAGGGCAAAAGGCAAAGGGCTCGGGGATTTGGAAAAAGGGCCCTGCTGTTGGAGATGGATATTGCTGGAGATGGAAAAGCAGGACCTCAGGAGGGAAAATGAACTGCTGGAGCATGCCCTGCCAGAGCAAACCCACCCTGTGGAAACACCACTGCTTTCATGCCCCACAGGGTGAAGCCGGGTGCCCTGAGAGCTAAGCAGAGGTCCTGTCTCTGCAAGGTCACCAGCCCCAGGTCTTTGCTGCTGGGAGCTACTGTGGTGGCCTCATGCCCTGCTGTGCCTGCTGCACTGGCAGACGGAGACGGAGCTGCGCGGGTGCCGCAAGGCCACAGGAGCTCCCACACTTCCCTCCATCACCTCCAACCACCCTCCTCTTCTCCTCAGCCCCTAAAACACAGCTAGCTCCAGGGACAAGGACCCCATCCGCCCAGTCCCTCCTGGAGGGGCAAAGTCGGCCGTCCCCCCCGGGGCTGGCGAAGGGCAGAGCATCTGTCCCAGCTGACCCAGCTCCCCGCTGCCTGCAGGAGTGTTATGAAACGAGGACACGGAGCCGTTCCCTGCTGGGCCTGGGGCGCTCGCTTCCTTCCAGCCTGGTATTTTCCTTCTCGATCTTTTTTTTTTAATTCACTTTTTTTTTTTTTTGCGTAGCCCCAAGGGGCGCGCAGCCGTGGGAGGAGCGGGGAAGTTATCAGCCGGGAGATACCAGCAGCATGATTCACCGCCTGGCCCCCGCAGGCTGCCACAGCCAGATGGGTGCCCTCTCCGCCACCACAGCGAGGTGCTGTTTGCGGACCCCCATCGCCTGGCCCATCCTCGCTGCCTTCCCCTCTCCCTGCTCTCTGGCCCCAGCATCCTTCCCTGGGAGCGCAGTGGGCAGAGGCGCAGCCCCCAGCCCCGGCACGGCCGTGGGCGTGGGGCCAACAGCCAGGATTCCTGCGGGATGGATGGGGTCCAGCATGCATCCAGATAGGCAAGAGCCTCCCAGCAGCCACCTTGCAAGGGCTTGGGGTGCCTGCGGGGGGTCCCCACCTCCTGCCAGTCTACAAACAGCTCCTAGGGCTGTTATGGGATGGCAGCAGAGCACCCGGGAAGAAAGTCTCGCACAAGTAGGTAGGCAGTACCGAGGGTCCCCCTCCATCCTTCTGGCACCCTGGAGGAGCAGAGAGCCCCGGGCAGCAGGAAGAGCAGGGTGCTGCACCCTGAAATACCCTGTGCTGTCTCTGATCCACTTTTATTCACAATCAGTCAGAAAATAACTTACCATACAATAACACAGGCACGCACAGCACAGGCCCAGGCACCCTCCCCTCCGGCTGCGATGCTACAGCCCAAGCCAGCCCAAGTTCTGCCCCAGCAGAGGCGAGCTCCAGCCTGGGGAGCTGTGCCCCCTCTCCAGCCCATGGGATGCTCCATCCCCATCCCGCTCAGAGCACAGCTTCACATGCGGCCAGAGGAACCTGTGCACAGTGCCAGTGTGTGTGTCCCCCCTCCCCTCCCACCCTGGGCTCCCCATGCCCTGCTGTCCCCCACCCCACCCTGACCCGTCCCGCTGGGTGCCAGCAGGCGCTCCCCCATCCCCGTGCCCACCCTCCGCCCCCCCGAGCGGTGCTGGTGTTGGCGGTCTGTACAACATGGCCGTGTGCTCCCCGGGGCCGGGAGCCTTGGTGCTCTTGTGCGGGGCCATCAGGCAGTGGGCAGCGGGCAGCCCTGCCCTCCCCGGGTGAACGACAAAGTGCTGATTTTGGAGGGTGCCGAGCATCTCCTCTCCTGCTCCCCTCGGAGTGGAGGGAAGCGGGTACCGTGGCTGCATCTCCCCCCCCAGCGCCGATCCCCGTCTCCCTCCCCCCCTGCGGGCAGGCGTGCTTGTCCCTGGCACCCTGGGGTGGGCACCCATCCCTGCCCGGCTACTTGCAGACGCTGACCCACTCGGTGATGCGACACTCCTCGCAGGCCACGAAGCAGCACCAGTGGAACTTGCAGTTGCAGCGCTCACTGCGGGTCTGCCGCAGGATGTTGTGCCCGCGGCCACAGCACAGGCTCTCGCAGTTGTCCATGCCCGGGCTGGTCTTGTTGCACAGGCGCCCTTGGGTGCCCAAGGAGTCCAGGGCCGGTTCCCGCTCGCAGAAGTCGGGTGACTTCTCAAAGTAAACCAGCTCGCTGATGCCGGCCCGGCGGCGATGCCGAGCGTGGCCCGGCTCCAGCTGCCCGGCGTTGCGGTTGTGGGGTCGGATGAGGGTGGCCCCGTAGAAGCGGTCCTTGAGCAGGGACCCCACCAGGCGAAACTCGGGCGTCACTTGCCAGCACGTCTTCAGCTGGCAGCTCCCCGAGGTGCCGTGGCATTTGCACTTCCTCCTCATGTTGTCCATCACCACCTGGGTGGGGAGGGAAGGGCAGGAGGGTTAGCACAGAGGAGATGGTTTTCGGGGGCCAGAGAAGCCATCATGGCTTTCTGTATGGGTTGGCACTATGGGAACACCACAGGATGGCGTGAGCAGCCATGAGAGTCCTGGAGCTGCAAAGCCAGCGAGGCTTCACCCTGCTTGCCACAGCAAGACCAGTGCCACACATCCACCCGCTGTGAGGGCCAGCATGTGAGCTGGGCTGGGGCTTGCAAAGACTATCACAGGCTGACCCCCCACCCAGCGCCACGCTCCGGGGCTCAGGGGGAGCCCAGAGGACACCGTGGCCCTGCGCAAGGTCCCGTCCCACGATGCCAGCCCTGCCCGGCCGCCTGGCTTCATGCCTGACACGTGCTGCCTGTTCCTGCCCCCTCCCTGGGGGGGGGGACACACACATGTGCCTTGTGTTGGTAGGGGTGGGTAGTTTTTACTCCTTGTTTTCGAGTAAATCTCTCCATTGCTAAGCAGTTATGGTAATGAAGGCAGGTCAGGGAAACACACCTGGAGCTCAGGGCACACGGCAGAGAGGTCTGGGCTGGGCTGGAGTTTGGCTTTCATCCTGCTGAGAGTCCTGTCTCCTGCCGGGAACAGCCTCCACCTTGCAGGTAATGAGGTGCCCAGCCTCTCCGCCGTGCCTTGGGTGTGCCAGTTGGGAACACCAGATGCTCACCACTGTCCTTGCCACCATCCACAGGAACATGCTGGCACTGGGACCCCATCCTTTCCCACATACCCTCCCTGCTCCCTTGGCTGGACCAGGAAAAATCTACATATAGGGCTGTGGCTGGGATGGTCATCTCTGGGATGGAGGGGACATTGGCATGACAACCGGACAGGGGCTCATTTGGGGCTATGGCTGGTTGCAGCAGAGGCTGGAGAAGGCAGCATCTCTGTGCCATCTCCATCACCCAAGCCATCACTGCTGAGCATCTCGAGCCCCAGCACCCATCTATCCTTGCCCAGGGATGGCTTGTTATCCCTCCTACACGGGCAGCGCAGGGGGGACAGGACCCTGCCAGAGCTGGGAGACCCAAGAAGGACCCATCTGAGCCTCGGCCCCATGCTTTTGCCATCAGATCTCCTCCACGCACCCCTACCCGGCCACGTCCTTCCCCCGTCTCACAGACACCCAGGTTCAGCACATGCCTGGACTCGCTGGTGCTTTCTTTCGCACATTCCCAGCTCCTCCCAGACACGCTCATAAGAGCTTTATCGTAGGTCTTTGTTGTGAGGGTAATGGGTAGTTCCTGGCTGCCTTTCATCCTCTCTTGCTCTCTGATCTGACGGGTTAGGAGGACCTGCAAAAGCCTCTTGCACGCTTCTGCTGCTCCTCACTGGGGAACTTGCTCCCTCCCAGGGATGCAGGACACCCATTGTAGTCTTGAGTTGGAATAGGAAGCCCTATGGTTGCCCCGGGGCTTCCTATTCCAACTCAAGACCAAGGTGACCACTGCCACCATCAGAGGATGCTGCGAATCCCCTGCAGCTGCAATCCCCTCCCCAGGAAAAAAAGATCAGCGTGTTTCTGCCTGGTTTCGAACCAGGGACCTTCCGCGTGTCAGGCGAACGTGATAACCACTACACTACAGAAACCCACGTCCCATGGCTATTGGCTGTGGCCATCGGTGGGATTGTCACCTGCCCCTGGCATTGCAGGGTCTGAGCTGCGAACCAGGCTTATCCACGGACAGAGCACCCTTGGGACACACAGGGACTGTGGAGAGGATGCTCGGCATCAGCGAGATGCTGGATAGTCCTGGGTGCTGCAGCTGCTCAGTGCATGGAGAGGGATGGCACATGGCAGGGCACGGCACGGGGTGTGTGTGTCCATATCACCGCTCTGCTCAAGGGCTTCAAGCCTCGGGACTTGGAGGGGAGGACCACATTGCTGCTGCATCCAGCACAGCCACTCTTTTCCTGGGAAATCCCATCAGATTGCTCCTTATTACAGCAGAAAGATGGTCATAGGAGTGAGGAGGGCTTGGGTGGGTGTCGGACCCACAGCATTGCTAAAAGAGCAGGCGGGGAGCTGGAGAACCCATCCCCAGGCAATGTGGACAGCCAGGTCCAGCCCCAGCAATAAGCATGGCACCAACAGGCAAGGACCATACACAGCATCACCTCCTTGCTCCAAGGCATGGCACCCACAACCATCACAACCCAACCTGCAGACAGGCTCACACCCTCATCTCAACAGAGTCCCTGAGCTGGGCAGCCTATCCAGCCATTGCTTCCCCACCTGCACCGGTACCATCCGCTCCTTTAGGTCTTTGGTCCTCCTCTGCCTCTGCTTCCAGCTCCCAGGCTTCTTCCATCAGTCCAGCTCTTGTCTCTGAAGCCACATTGCCAGTCCTGTGCCTGCCTGCCCTTGGGGACAAGCAGACCCCAGGCATTTTTGCTGTTGCCAGATCCCACAGGCACTGCATGGTGACATCCCCCTGTGCAAATATTCCTCTCTCACCTTCACCTTTTGCAGGGGGCTGTGGAGCTTCCCTTGGGAAACGGGCAATATAGACCCCAAATTTCTGAGCACTGCCAAAAGTCCCAGTGGTTTGGGGCACGCAGAGCTAGAGGGGAGCCAGGATGAGCCCTGCAGCCAGAAGTGAAATGGGGGGGGTCTTGCCTGGCTTGGGGCAGAGCAGCCTGCAGAGGATTTAGCTGCCTAACGCTGAGTGAGCCTTCACCACACACAAGCAAACAAAGCCAAACAAGCAAAAAATTCTGGCTTTCCCCAGGCACTTACAGCTTGGCCAAACTGGGATGGTTTTTCAGGGTGGTAAAGCTCAGCTCCAGCACCAGGGCAGGGCACACATCAAGGTCCTGCTCTGCAGCGTCCCCATCTCACAGCTGGCTTTAAACATGCTCAAAGCAAGAAGCACATCCAAATGTCTGAGCCATCCCAGGGAAACACTCCCTGTGGAATTCTGATCTTTAATTACTTATTCCCACAGCCACTACACACCCCCCTGCGTGGCCCTGGCAGTGTGCGGTCAGGGTTTTTGGGACAAATGTCCCACTGGATCCATGGGGTGGCGTCTCCCCGGCACCTGCTGGGAGCAAAGCTGGGCAGGGAAATGCAGCCACCCTCCCAGCCCCTCCTGCCTGCATGCTGCTTCTCTCCAGTGTCAGGCTGCTTTTAAACATCAGCTTCCAGACAGAGCGAGCTACTAATTAGCACCTTTAACAAGACCTGACATCATGAGAATGGAGGGGAGGCTGCCCTGCTCGCCCAGGCAGGCTCCAGCACCCCCTTGGAGCCGGGGGGTGAGGCTGTGGGCTGTCACCTCTGCTCCCGAGGGGATGCTGCACTTCCCAGCTGGCACAGGCGCCCGCTGCCCGGCTCAGTCCCACTCACATCTGTCTCCTCAGGGCTCCGGCTCCCTCTCCGGGGGCAGAGCTGCAGCTGGGTGCTGCAGAGCCTGTGCCGTGTCCCCTCGCTGGCGACAGTGCATTGCAACACCTGCCTTCTCACACCATGCCAGTGACTTTCTCCTCCCTGACCACGGTTCCCTCGCACTGCAGCTGCCCAACACCAGTTCACCCAGTCCCTGAGTGGCAGGAGCTGCACTCGTTGCCGTGCCATCCCCGTAGCACTGCTGCAGCACAGGCAGGTGACAGTGGCCTGGGGAAGTGTCCCTTGGCAGGTGGACAGCAGCGATGCTTGGTGCCCTCCCCAGCAGAGATGCTCAGCAGCAGGGCTGCGCCACTGCCTTTGCTCCGGGCAAAACTGGGGAGAGGGGGTGCCTTGGGGGCAATCTCAGCCTCGCACACATGTCCCACCACAGCCAGCACAAGCCCCTCACAGCCCTCCCGTGTGTGTTCCGGGCACCTTGTCCCTGCCACCATCGCCCCGCACCCCTGCCCAGCACCCCGCTCACCTGCCGGCCCACGCGGTTGTTGTGCAGCCTCATGCGGGAGTGGATGTCCCTGTAGGTTTCCCGGGAATCGAGGAAATCCTTGGAAAACTTCTCCCCATAGTCCACGTCGGGGCTGCACCCTCCCCATTCCCAGGAGTCCTGGAGGCCGGGGGTCTCGGCCGGCATGTGCTCCATGTGCACCCCGTGCACCATGCCTTTGCCACGGTTCATGGCCTCCAGCTGGAGACGATGCAGCTTGCGCCGAAAAGCCTCCTCATCGCCCCGGCGCTTCTGGTCGCAGCCACAGGCCTGCAGCTTGCCGAGGGCACAGGCGTTGGAGACGGCGTGCACCACGCCGGCGGCCGCAATGGCGTAGGCGAAGGCGCTCTCCCGAAAGCCTGCGAGGAAGGAGAGAGGGGGGCTCAGGCTGGGCGGCATGACCCCCGCGGGGGCTGGATGAGCCCTGCATCATGCTGAGGTGCAGGCAGACAGAGGTTTGGCTTGTGCCTTGCTGGTCCTGATGCACCAGCTCCAATCTGGACCATGAGCGAATCCTCACTCGGTGCTCTCCAGCCCCATCCCCACCAGGACACGTTGCTGCCCTGAAGCCCAGCCCTGCCCTGGCTGGGACCCCAGCTCCCACCATCACCCTGCTTTCACGTCACCCTGGGAGATGCCACCGTGGCAGTGCTCAGGCATCAGCCTTATGGCTCTGATGGGAAAGGCAGTATCTCCTCCCTCCCCTCCACTCAGTTTCCCAGTACATTAAATATAATATTAAATATAATGCTGGCTGAGGAATACGGCTGAGGAATACTGCTGAGGAATGGGCCATTTCTGCTCACCCACAGGATGCAGGATCAGGCAATAGCAGGAGCAGGCAGCACTGCCTGTCCAGCTCCATCTGTCTGCACATACCCCCTCCCTCCCCAAGCCCCACCAGCTCCCGCAAGAAGCTCTAAATGTGATACCGCGTTGGAAAAATCGAGCATCCCTAGTTAGTTAGAGCATGCCATGACCGCACTGCGCGCTGCCAGGGCCGGCAGCTGGTTGTCGTTAAACGCCGGGGAGCGAGGACATCCACAAGTGTCATTAGCTGGGGATGAGGTGGACGGGGACAGGGACGGGTCCCATGGCAGGGGCTCTGCAGGGCTGCGAGCAGGGGCTGCCTGAGGGCTACTTGGCTTCACTGCAGCCAGCTGAAGAGCCTCCCCTACCTGGGAACTTCTATTTTATTTTAAATGCAAAGTAATATTTTTATTTGTGGTTCCCGGGCCAAGCAGGGAGCCCGCAGTGCCCTTTGCTTCAGTGAGCAGTGACCAGCCCCAGCACGATCAGGGGAAGGAGGGAGAGCCAGATGCTGTGACTTCACACGTGAATAAATAAATACTGGAGTTTGCCAGCTTCTCTCCCTCCGTTGGACAAGAGCAGCTTGATCAGCCCTGGCTTTGCTACGGCTGAACAGACGAGAGGTTTTGGGGTGTTTTCTCCAGCAGATCTGTGCCATCAAACAGGGGGCTTGGGTGAGTACCCCAAAGCACAGATCCAGGGCAGGGCTCTGCCAGCTCCCTGCCTGCACCGCGGAGCCACGAGAGGTGAGAGTACAACCGCTCCCCGCCGCCGTCGCCCGTCCTGGGCGATGCTCCCCATCACGCATGTCTCCTTAGTGGTTCGCTGCCGCCCGCTGAGCAAACGCTATGATCTTATTAAAGGGAAATGAAACGCAGCTCAGAAACCTGCATTTAAAGTCACGCTGCTCTTTTGTGTGTTAATTTGACACCGGTGCATTTAAAAAATTAACGAGGCACTGCTTAAAAGCCAGCGGGAGCCTCTCCCAGCTTCCCCTCGGTGTGGGACAAGCTTGCTCTCAGCCTGCCTCTTTCCATGCACAAGTTGAACAACATTTTTCAGCGGGCAGGTAATGGGGCTGCTGGTGCGTACGCTGCGCAGCCTCCCCGGGGAGAGCGCTGGCAGGCAGCGCCTGCAACACACCCACAGCACTGCTAGAGCAGGACAGCCCAAATCTGGGGAACTTCAGCCCCCAGGTGAGCGATGCAGGGTGGAGAACCAGCACAGGAAGGTCTCCAGGACCCCCAAATCCTCCCCATATCAGTTCTCCATCCCCGCAATCTGGGTCAGCTCCAGCCCTTCATGAGCCAAACCCGGGCACAGCATAAGAGCAGGGACTTGTCACTGCCACCCAGCTTGGCGTCCCCGGCGCCTCGTACAGCCAGTGCCTGGGGATGATGGCAGCAAACCCTCCACCATGACACTCTCCTCTCAGCCCTGCCTATCCGTTAGCCTCTTTCTCACACATTTCTCCAGCCTAACAAATAATTTCCCATGTGGCATCTCCTTAAAATCCCTTCTCGAGCCCAGACAGAAGCTCTACCCCACCCAGTCCGTCTAGCAAGCCTGTCTCCTTACAGGTAAAGAGGCCGGGTTCGTTTGGTACCCTCCATGGCTGGGAAACCCCTGGGGTCAAGCCCCAGCCCTCCTCCTTCCTCCATGCGTGAGCTGATGGATGAGGCACAGGTCCTTGCTCCTGGAGCTGCCGTCCCCCAGGCTGCGGGCAGGGGACAGGCTGGTCCCCCGGGACCTGACATCCCAGTACTCTGGGAGTCTTGTCCCCATCTCACTGTGGTCATTTCCCTGCTCAGTATCACTCTGCCTGGCCCCGCCACTCCTCCCTGCCTTCTCCCCTCCGCCCCTTGCCTGCTCTCATGGGGAGCTGTGAGCAACGGGGAGGAGGGGGCTAGGGCAGCAGCCGGGACTGCAGCAGCCATGCCAGCGTGGTTCTGCTTGGAGGTTCAGTTTACATTCCTTGCTTTACCCCGGCCACGCCAGAGCCTGGAGGATTGCAGCAAAGCAGCGAGCAACGTGGCTGCAGGCAACAACCACTGGCCTCGTGGGCTCGGTGAGGGTGGGAGCTTCCAGGAACCACAGCCAAGCGCGGCGTGTGGGGGGCGGGCCGAGCCCTTCGGAGGGAGGCTCTCCAGCTGCCCCAGCCACCTAAGACCTCAGTGGTGATGTCTGAGTCACTAGATCCTTCCAGAGATCACAGAAGAGGTTGTAGCTGTGGGAGGTGTGAGGGGAAGTATTGCATCCTGCAGGGAAGAGGGAATGGAGGACACCACCCTGACACCACCGCCGGCATCCAGCATGCCAGGTACTTAAAGGACGGTGCTGGACAAGGAGGATGGATCTGAAATCTCGGCCCCAGGTCAGATCCCAAAGCAGCTTTCTTAGCAGGGGAAAATTTTCCCTGTCAAGGTGCACGCAGGAGATGGGGGGCCATTCCGCAGGACCCCAAGCCGCAGCTGGCACTGGCTCTGCCACGGATGCTGCTGTTTCTCCATCTCTCATGTGGATGCAGGACCAAGGCAACGGGCCTGGCTCAGGCACGGCTGTGGGCTCCATGGTCTGCTGGGGTAGGGAGAGCTGGAGTTGTGGCCTTCCTCCCACGGCTCACCATCGCACCCAGGCAGCGATGCCCTCCCAGCACCCACCACCATGGCACCCGGGTGGCATTGAGGGAGCAGGCGGGACAGCCTCGTCTGGGCACACTCCAGGGTACCCCAGGGATGCTCAGCTGCCCCCTCCATGGGCAGCACCCCCCATAATGCCAGCAACACGTCGCCCCGGCCCCTCTGGCTGGCAAGGCGGAGGAGAGCTTCTCCTGCCATGGCCAGTCCCGACATGCCGCCTCTCCCCCAGCCCCGCTCCCTCCCCTCTCCCTAATTAAACTGCAGGTGAACCTGCCAGGGTCTGGCCCAGCGCCAGGCGCTGAACGCCTCCCTGCAGATCCCAACTTGCCTCCCTGCACCTCCTTGAGTGTGCTGGGGACAGCCCGCAGCCCTCCCTCCC